CTGGGCTGGAGGGGCAGACGCCCAGGGCAGTGCGGTCAGGACCTCTGAGCCCCATGAGGATGTGGGGGCAGAGCCGGGAAGTGCACTACAGGAAGTGGCTGCATCCTCTCCTGCTTTGTGTAGATATCGCTGTGCAGGTAAGGGTGTTTCTAGACTCTCTGACATGAAAAGAAAACAGATCTCCTGTGGGCGCATCAGAGAAAACGTGTCTGTGGAGTCCCCCCGGTAACATCGTGCATTGCGGGTGCGGGTAGTAAAGCACAAATGAAGAATAAATTATAGAAGCCACTCGAAGAATACAAAACAAGCGCAGAAAGAACTGTTCAGCTTGGTTATTTTAGCACTTAGCAGTACAGAAGCAAAGTTCTTCTCTATCACATCCATCGTTTCTGAGAATAATACATTTTTTAAAAGATGCTGACTCATCCATTTCCCCCCCATCTGCTTCTTTTATCATTTCCTTAAATAAGCGGGAAATATATCAATTGTAAAGGCATAAATGAAGTTAAACTACTTTTCAATGCCTGAGAGTCAACGATGAGGAATTTTCTAGCAAGTGGTTTCTTAGACCTACTTAGTACTGAGTTCCATGTACACTGTTGGCACACACCAAATGACGGTAAAACAAACAAGAAAAACACTTCTGTGATTGCACTGAAGCTCAGAAATGACTTTTATTTGCCATTAAAACACTTGATCAAATGTCATTAAGAGCTAACATTTCTTTGCAGATTTTAACAAATAACAAAGCCATTTTCTCTGGAACCATGCCACCTAATTTTAGAGGATTTAATTAATGCATCGGAACGCATCATCCATCATAACAGTCACTTTAAAATATGAAATTTTCCTTTTTAGGGGGTTGTCCGAACAATAAAAGGCACAAAAGGGAATGCACGTAAGCACGTAAGGTGTCTAGCACAGTCTCTCAGAGGAGGGCCGGGGACACGTTCATAAAAATCAATTCTGATTTAGCAATTTATAAAACTTACATCTGCTATTTGAAGGAAGGTGGAGCCCTGGTGGTGCACTGGTTGACAGCTCAGCTGCTAAACAAAAGGTTGGCAGTTCAAATCCACCAACTGCTCCTTGGAAACCCTATGGGGCAGTTCTACTGTCCTACAAGGTTGCTATGAGTCGGAACTGACTTGACAGCAACAGGTTTGGTTTTATTTTTTGGTTATTTGAAGGAAATGGTCATTTATAACCACCCAAACCGTTATGTATCCATTGTCAACTACCAAAACCACAGTGCAATACAATAGTCAGAGAGGAACAAACAACACCTGAAGTATCTATAAAGTTGTCGTATCCATACAGTGATACCCCGAGTGGAAAAGTCTAGGTTCTGCCCTGAAATGGTACTAGTTTAAGTTAGAACTTTAAGTTAACTAGGCTTCTTCACTGTTGTCCCTTCCCTCACACTTAGGTTTTCTGCATTTACAAATTTCTTAAACACACACCAATTGGAAAGCATTGGGGAGGTGATATTGGAGGATATGGGAGCGATTTCTCTTTTTTGCTTCTTAGTAACAGAAGTTAAAATTGTAGGATTTCCAAACAAGGGATCCCCAATCCTTTAACACTTGCGAAAATGAACAGAAGTCTACCAGTGGCAGTGAGGGAGCAGGGTTCCGGTGAAGCGGAAAGGAAAGAACGAGGGGGAAGGTGCTAGCTCCGGGTCTGGCCTGAGTTGTTGCTTGGCACAGCAGAATTTCTTGTTTTCCTTTCCCTTCTACTTTCCTGACCAGCAGTGCAATGTTGGTGCGAGCCAAGGACAAAGGAAAGAAGTTGGGTGAGACTTCCCCCTTGCTTGGTGCTGCTGCACCTGCCATTAACTTATGTGATGTCTTCACGATGGCCAGAGCCACATGAGCAGGTAGCACAGAACAAGCCATTTATAGAGTGGCATGAGACACGAGTGACTTATAGGAGGCCGCAGACGGGAGTTTAGAGAAACAAATGCCGACATTCACACAATTATTAACACCTAGTATCCTCACAGGGTTGCTATGAGCCGGAATCGACAGGTTTGGTTTGGCTGGTTTTATCCCTTTCAAGGATGATTATTTTTTTTTTGATGATGTCATGTGTGTTCACTATGCAATGGATGCTGAATCATCATTTGCTGGTAGTCTTTTATTATATGAAAAATGGGGTGCCAACTGCAAGCAGGCCACATCGGTCCCATGCTCCATACAATACACATCACAAACGTGGTATATATTGGTCCTCTGGCCCAGGAAGTGTATAAAAGATGTCATCAGGGAGGTGACTAATACAAGTGGGCCACATTGGTCCCATGTTCCATAAAGTACATCACATACACAGTACATGTTGGTACCGTAGTACCGGCCCAAGATGTGCATTGCAAACTGTTTTCACACCAAAAATAACTCAATTTACTTGAATATCTCTGAATGCTGGTAACCATACCTTCCCATTAACACAAAGGAAATAGTAAACATGCTTGCAAGCCTTATCTCACTGTACAGAAGCCAAAATCACACAAGTTCCACACAACCACTTCTCCGGGAAGCATCCCCTCATACCAAGTGCTCACAACACTCAAACGTGGCGCAGCCCAACTTCCTTGTTTTTCAGGTTGTTGCACCAGTATCTGCCATGAGGCTAGAACGTACTAGACTGGATCAAACGCCTGTCAATAAACCTCCAGGGGCGGGAAATGTAACTTGTGCATAAATATCCCAGAGCCCATGAACGAGTTACAAGGCAGTGGTCCTAGATCAGTAGCATCAGCATCACCTGGGAACTTGTCAGACGTACAGATTTTCACCCCACCCCAACCCGTTGTTGGTAAGTAGATTCCGACTCATAGTGACCTTATAGGACAAGGCAGAACTGTCCCATAGGGTTTCCAAGGAGCAGCTAAAGGATTCGAACTACCAACCTTCTGGTGAGCAGTCGAACTCTTAACCACTGTGCCACAGGGGCTCCCCTTTGGCCCCGCCCCAGACCTACTGAACCAGAAACTTTGGAGTGAGGCCTAGTGATCTGTTTTCACAAGTCTTCCAGGTGATTCTGATGCACCCTAAAGCTTGAGAATCACTAACTATTCCATTATTAAAACATAGTATCTCTATAATGGAATCAGTTATTAACTATACATTGAATTATAAGAACAAAGTTAATTATGCAAAGGTATTAGAAGATGAAAAATTCATTTTATCCCTACTCATCATTCCCTTCACGATAACTGAGGTGTAGATGAGGCTAATTCATCTTTTCATTTGCATGACTTTCCAAATCAACTTGGGGCTGAGTTTTTACTGTGTAAAATAACGTAAACCTTATAATTCTAATTAGAAGCAAATCATCATCTCTACAACTCATGAAGAAATAATTATAAATATCAGGAACCTTTTAAACATCAGCTACTGAGTTGGCAACTCTGGTCTCCTGGGCTGGTGTGAGAGAGACAGGGAGTGATAAAAAGTGGCCTGTTCCGTGGGGTGGGGCAGGGATGGGAGGTCGGGGGGCCTTGACTCACAGGCATTGGGCAAGTGACTGGCACGGCACGAAGTGGTGCAGTGGGTCTGTAACCCCTGGTCTACATTAATCTAGATTAAAATCACCACCACCACCACCACCAACAAAAGCAGCTTTACCAGGGAAGGGAGGAGGACAGAGATAAACAAATGAAGATCCAGGGAATCTACCGAGGCGATGGTACATGCATTTTAGGGGAAGACACGCAGAGCTGAACGGAAGGTCCACGTGTGTGCAGACGTGGGACAATATGGATGCTCAAAGGCTTCCGGGACCCTCTCCCTTTCTGCATAAGTAAACAGCACTAAATTGGGAGCCAGAAGCCCCAAGCTGTTCTTTCTGGCTCTTGTACTAACTAGCTTCTGAGGATAAGCAAGTCATAGATAACCATTATAGTCCTCAGTTTCTCTATTTGAAAACTGAGGTGACTGCACTATATGATCTTCTAGGTCTGCTCCAGGTCTAGGATCCAACAATTTCATAATACAAGGTCTTGCTATGTGTTTAAAATTTGACTATGAAATATCACGGGACGAGTAATTGATCAGAACATCTGAACACACAACACACACCACACACACACACACACACAACACACACACAACACACACACACACACACACACACACACACACACACACACACTAAAACATTTCACTTCATTAGGACCAATACAGTCTTCCCTCAGCATCCACAGGGGATTGGTTCCAGGACACCGTGGATACCCAAATCCAAAGATGCTCAAGTCTCTTATATAAAATAGTGTAGTATTTGCATATAACTCTCACACACCCTCCTGCATATTTTAAATCACCTCTAGATTACTTACAATACCTAATGCACATAAATGCTATGTAAATAGTTGTTATACTGTATCGTATAACAACTTTTTTCCCCCCAAATATTTTCGACCTGCAGTTGGTTGAATCTGTGGATGCAGAACCCGCAGATACGGAGGGCTGACTGTGTACAAACCGAGTCATTCACAGTTATTTAATACAGCCAGACCTATGTTAGACTATGGTTGTTGTCACGTGCCCTTGAGTCAATTCCGACTCTTAGTGACCTTATAGGACACAGTAAAACTATCCCATAGGGTTTCTTAGGCTGAAATCTTTATGCGAGCACATTGCCAGGTCTTTTCTCCTGAGCAGCTGCTGGTGGGTTGGAACCGCTAACGTTTTGGTTAGCAGGCAAGCGTTTAACCATTGTGCCACCAGGGCTGGTGTATAAACTCTGCTTCATGGTGCTATGTGGACCTATATAGTCTTTGGGCCTTGAACCACACCTTCATAAAACGTCACCAAACCTGCAAGAAAGAATCCTTCCTTTTCCATATTTGTTGTTACACATACGTTGTTTCTGTCTTTCATCCAGTAAGGAAACATATCCTTTTTAAAAAACCTAAGGAGATGCACAGGTAAGCAAATTCATATAAGCCTTATACACTCAAAACACAAGTGGTCTGTAGCTAGGAACTGAAGACTGACCTCTTTCCTGTGGCATTGGTGACTGGCTCATGGCAGGGTGGACGCTGGATTCCGACTGGCTGCCGGGAGGCTGCGGCGGCATCTGACTGCCTGTAACACAGGGGGAGGTGGGGGTGGGAGCCTTTGCATTAATACCGCAATGGTGCACAGCCAAGACAGAGCCACACTGAGTAAACCTTCTGATCACAAAAGGGACAGCCCCCCACAGAAAAATAGCTCCCGAAGTGTGATATTTCACTTTTTTTAAATGAAGAGGAAATATGTATAAACATATTTAGCTAAAGACCTCCTGAAAAGTTTTATTTCTTACTGAATGAGTTCCCAAACACAGACATGAATCAATTTGTAGCTGAAATCTGACACACTTTTTCAGTGAATTTAACAAAAACTAAGACTGCTGAACCAAACTCACCCTCCCCTTCCCCCTGACCTTAAAATAACCGCCAAGCAGGTAGGCATGCATAGCTGCCAACAATTTTTTACTGGTAATATTCAATCAATACAGTCAGAGCAACAGATTTTTTAAAAATTAGTCAGTTATAGAATTTAACATAAATAGGAGAAGACCTTCATTAAAAACATAAACTACTATACAATATGATCATTAAAGAAGGGGGCACTACTCTGCATCTCTTTTCAATATTTACTGCTAATACAACACAGTTTCACATGCTTGATTTTACCTTGTTTCATGTTTGCACAGTTTGTCTTTTCAACTACAGGCAGTTCCCACGTTATGAATGACTGACTTACATATAACCTGGAGTTACAAATCAACCCCTGCAAAGCCTATTATATTAAAAATTTGAGGTACATACAATGGTTTGTGAAGCCCTGGTGGCATAGTGGTTAAGAGCTCGGCTGCTAACCAAAAGTTCAGAAGTTCAAATCCACCAGCCACTCCTTGGAGACCCGATGGGGCGGTTCTACTCTGTCCTATAGTGTAGCTGTGAGTCAGAACCGACTCAATGGCACCTAACAACAACTGTTCCTAATAACAAATGGGCGCTACTCTGTGAAGCGCATCAGAACATTATTATTATTGTATTATTATACTAAAGATGTTTTAATATATCTGAAAGTGTTTCTTTAATTTTTTTTATGTACAGAAAGATACACTATATGCTATATACTAAGACAAACGTTTGATCAACTAACATTAGATACCAACTGTGCCTAACTGTTCTAACTTATGTACAAATTCAGCTTAAAGACAGATTTAGGAAGGGAACTCGTTCATAATCTGGGGACTGCCTCTATATTGTAAGCTCCTGAGGCAGGAACCGTGTCTTTCACTTCCTTTTATCCTTCTATTAGCCCAACAGATATTGAATAAGTCTTTTCATTTAATGACCCTTAATCTGATAATACCAATTAAAGGAAAAGATACTTATTGTTTAATTGATCAAAGAGAGACGACGAGTCATATAAAGCAGGTGACTGGATTTTGAAATTTAAGAATCATTGGAGGTCTTTCCATTTCAACTCACTTTCTGGCTCAGAAGTTAGATACATTTCTAAGTCCAAAAACTATTAAAGAATAAAAAAAAGGCAGCTGAATTTAGCACAATTCTCAATGCACTAGCTCTCAAGGCATGAGGACCACGCTATCTGATTCTACCCCTCCCATTACTACGATAAATGGGAAAGACTGAAAGATCAAACTATACATGTATATATGTGTGTGTTTGTGTGTGTGCGCATATCATTTGCTGTTTGTTGCTGTCTAGTCACTTCTAACTCATGGCGATCTTATGTGTAACAGAACAAAATGTTTCCTGGTCCTGTACCATCTTCGCAATCATTGGCATATGTTTGCGTCCATTTTTGTGGCTACCGTGTCAATCCACCTCACTGAAGGTTTCCCTCATTTTCACTGACCCTTTACCAAACATGATGTTCTTTCCTAGGGACTGGTCTTTCCTGATGATGTGTCTAAAGTGAGTGAGTCAAAGTCTTGTTCCTTCTAAGGAACATTCTGGCTGTATTTCTTCCAAGACTGATGTGTTCATTTTCCTAGCAGGTCACGGTGTGCGTGCACCTGCACACATGCACGTGCGTGCACACACACACACACACACAGACACACACATCTCCCTGCCTGATCTTCTCATACGGTAGCCTAACGATCATGCTAGATCAAGCTAACTGCTTTCACCTGAAAAGACCTACTCTTCCATAGTTAAGTTTATTATTAACAAGAATCAGAATTAAGTAGAGAAGGAAATTAATGTCCTCTCCAATCCACCAGTGAGGGTCATGACACATCCATGGCACAGAGCTGGCGTTTACAGATGAACAAGATGGTGTTTTGTCATGCCCGGCACTCAGTCAGCCCGAGTGCAGATGGGAAGGGGCCCTCGCCCGGAGGCCCTCAGGATTGTCACCCATTACTGTTCTAACAAACAGCTGCCCCCGTGACAGCCAGAGAGGTAAGAAGATGGTTTTCAGTTCAGATAACAGGTATAAACAGTTCTTCAAAATACGTACTACTATAGTACTCAAATTATTTTCTGGCACTGGGGCTTCTCACTTTTAGAGAAGAATGTAAAACTTCTGAATGTATTTCTGAGTGTTTCTGGGGTCAAGTGCCTCTCCCTTTCCCAGATAAAGTGAAAACCAAAGAATGAGTTTACTGACACTGCGGAACATTACCCTGAGAAACCACTAGGAGCTGCTCTTACGTTAGAGCCATAGGTAGATGTGTAACAGACCCAGACAAACAGCACAGAACTGCTTAACCATTCATTCAAGTCTTAGATACTTGCAGTAAATTAGCACCAGTACCAAATAATTAAATGTAAAGTAAAAAACACTTAACGTTCTGGATCAAAATGATTTCAAGGGTAAATACCGGTCACCAACTTGACTACAGATACAGCAAAGCTGCTGTGTCCACTGTGAGGTCACATGCTTCATATGAAACACCCCAAGGCCCTCGACTGACAGTCCATTTAGAAACTTGAAGCACACTGCAGCCAAATACTGACTTTTAAAATGTCACTGGGGAATCAGTCGTGGTAAGACAGTAAGTGTGTACATTATAATGATCACTTCTGCATGACAGACTGAATTCATAGCCTTGCAACAGTAAAAACAAACCATGACTCTTAACACGGGACACCGCTCCTTCCACTGTGCATGCCCGAGGCACTGCTCCTAGATAAAATACTGCAAAGAGAAATAAAAAAGGCTGCACGAAGACCATCCTGCGAATTTTATAAAATACTGCCACAACCACGCTGCACTACTGGTTGCCTGGTGCAATTCAGTGAAGACAGACATCCCTCTAAAGCAATTAGGAAATTCATTTGATAAAGCCATCCTGTTAAAATAAACAGAAGGCGTTTCATGGTAAAGGCAGATCTGTCCAAACCGTTTTAAATTCTTCATGGTCTTTTACCTCTTTTCTGCCCACAGTTTGTTACTAAGGAGCTTCAACTTCCATAAGCACAGGTGGAAGCACAGTCATCGCAGATGATGAATAGGAATGTGTTTGAGAAACGTAACATGGAAAACTTACATAAAGAAGAAAATCCAGAGCCCTTTGAAGCAACCAAATTAAGTAAGCACCTACAAAACAATGATTTGGATATGACAAATGCTAGCGCTAAGTAAAACGTTACAGGCAAAATTTGGTAATTATTTTAAAAGAGAATATTGCCAAGCACGGTGAGTGAGCAAATCAACTTTATGAGGGAACTTCAACATTAAAATGAGTTTTTAAGGGAAGCCTCATGGTTTTCCCTTGCCTATGTCTATAATGATGTAAGAACAATGGGAAAAAAACTATGCTGTGAGATAGAATGAATTCCAGTATGTTACAACTATGTATCTATTTTCCAATGATCATGTACACAATATTGTGCAAGATATTGGTGCAACAAATTAAAAATGAAGGATCAGTAAACAAACAAAAAAAAACCCAAAGCCGTTGCCACAGAGTCAATTCCAACTCACAGCAACCCTAGAGGACATAGTAGAACTGCTGGCCTTTTGGGTAGCAGCTGGGCGCTTAATCAGTGCACCACCAGGGCTCCTGAAGGATCAGAGTTGTGTAAATTTCTTCTTTTGTTGACTTAAAAATCTCGGTGTAATAAGTCTATTATTATTATTTAAAAAACAAAACTTTTAAATTAACTTTAGACTTAGAGAAAAGTTGCAAAGATAGTACAGCATTCTCTCAAGTCCCTTATCCCACTTCCTCTAACACGTTATCTTACATAACTATAATTATGGAAAAAAAAGTTAACATGCTACACTATTACTAACTAAAGATCTTATGCGACTTCCACCAATTTTTCCACTGAATATCTTTTTTAGTTCTAGAATCCTACATTGCATTCAGTTGTTACTTCTCCTTAGTCTCCTCCATTCTCTGAAACTTCCTCAATCTTTCTTTAGATTTTATGACCTTGACACTTTAAAGATCACTGATCAGTTACTTTGTAGAATGTTCCTCAGTTTGGTTTTGTCAGATTATTTTCTCATGATGGAAGTGAGGTTATGTATTTTGGGGAAGTGTGCCCCCAAAATACCATGCCCTTCGTAGTCCATTCTGTCAAGGGGTTCATGACGGAGATATGTCTTATTTCTGGTGACGTTTACCTTGATGACTTGGTAAAGTATAAAGTTCATTTCCCTCTTTGTAGTGAAGTATCTTGGGGAGATACTTTGAGACTACATAAAATCCTGTGTCTCCTCAAACGTTCAGCCACTAAACACAGCATTCGCTGGAGAACCTTGTTTGTAACACTTATTACTGTGATGTCTGCCGAATGGTGATCCTCTATTTGCCTCTTTCCTTCCATATTTATTAGTTGGAATCCTACTGCAGGGAACAACTAACTCTTCTTTCTCACTTGTTTATTTATCTGTTAGACTATTTATGTCTACCACCAGGGGTATGCTGTGGCACACACATGTACCCTGTTAAGACCTTGCCCTCCATGAGTGACCCTGTGTAATCCCCCCTCTTGACTGGGGACAGAACCCGTGATTTGGCTTCTAACAAATAGAAAATGACAACAGTGATGGGATATCACTCCCGTAATTATGTTTCATGGCAGTGGTGAAGGGATTTTGCAAAT